AGGTGCCAACCTGCACTGGTAGAGGAAGTCTTCATCTTGGACTTCATTATTCCAAAGTAGGATTCCCATCCCAAAAGAGTCATATACTTAGAACTGAAAGGCCTAAGTCATAGAAAGTTGGGTTAGAGTCTACCAAATCCAACTTCCTCGTTTTGTAGCTGAGAAAAGAGAAGTAGAGAGAGATGAAGAGATTTGCTTAAGGTCATACAGTGGGAAAACAGGAATCATTGGTATTTAATATTTTCCCATCAAGGAAATGCTATAAGTTTGGAGGCCTTTATAGGTTCCTGGGGAGGTAGGGAGGACCATAGCAGGAAAGAGTTTTGCTTGACTATTGATGGTCTCAGGAGTTCTTGACATTTTTTTCATTGTGTTAAATAAAGTCTATCTTATATTTGATGTTGTTAGCCTGAATGCTTGGAAGGGAGCTGAGGATCTCCTTCTTTTTGTTGTGGGGTCCTAGACAAAATGAAATTTTGATATTCTCAGGTGAAACCCTGATTGGGAACACAAGCCAAAGGGTATTATTATAGAGGAAACCCCAAGACTGAATTCAATGTAAACATATGGTGCTAGGTCATGTATTAGCACAAGATTATTCATAGATGGGGAGGTATCCAGCACCTAGGGGATATGAGTCAAATATTCAGGACCACCAGGTTCAACACACACTCTCAGCTTCCTTTGTCTTTTTCTCCTATTTCTGGGACCTCTGAAGAGGTGTCCAAATTCTTCTCCTGCCCTTTGCCCTCTTCTTACCATGTGGGACATACATTAAGAGCTTGATATTTGCCTTCCAGACCACCTACTTTATTGATCCAGGCTTGGAAAAAATGACCAAGGAGACCAGTCCCAGAACAGAAGGTATTTCTATTAGCTAAGGGAAAATTGAGTGATATCTCTTATAGGTGAAGGGGTCATCTTTATAGCTCCTGAGATACTAAGAACCAACCAAAACCTGTAACATTCATATTTCTGATGTTCTCTGGAGGCTTACCAGTGCTACTAATAATGATGTTGATGATAACGACAGTTGGAATTTGTATAGTTCTTTAAGGTTTGCAAAGTGCATTACATGTTATTTCATTTGATCCCTACCACAATCCTGAGTTGTTGTTCAGACATTTTCAGTCATGTCCAATTCTTTGTGACCCATCTGGGGTTTTCTTGGCAAAGAACCAAAGGGATTTGCCATTTCCTTCTTCAGCTCATTTTGTAGATGAGGAAACGGAGGGAAACAAAGTTAAATGACTTGCCCACGGTTACACAGCTGGTAAGTGTCTGAGACCAGATTTGAACTTTGGGAAGATGAGTCTTCCCGACTCCCGGCCCAGTGCTCTGTGCACTATGGTGCCACCTATCTGCCTACAATCCTACAAGGTAGGTGCTCTTATTATACTCATTGTACAGATGAGAAAACAGACTGACAGACATTACATGACTTGCCCAGAGCCACAAGAAGGAAATTCAGAAAGTTTATCCTTACCCCTTTAGGTAATAAGGGAGACTCATACATTCCCTGGAGAGTCATTTGAAGGATGCCTTTGTGCTTGGCAAACCAGGCCGAGTACCCAACATTCCCTGGTTTGTGGATCTGGAACTGGAAGGGATTTTAGAGACTGCTAGTTTCTCAGGCATCTTAACTTTCTCACTTCTCTTCTTTCATCTAGACCCCTCCTCATGTCTGGAATGTACTCCTTTCCTCCTCATATTCAATGTAACCATGGGAAAGTAACTTGGACTTCCTAGGTCTCCTTTTCCTCATCTGTAAAATGACTGCTTTGGACTAGGTGGCCTTTGAGATCCCTTCCAGCTCTAAAGTTATGATCCTTCAATAAACACATCAAACAAACAATCATATGACTATTGTATGCATAGTGTATGAATAGTAATTCATTTTTTTCCTATTGAAATCCATCTTTTATTTCAATACCCAGTCCAAGCTCCACCTTTTCAGCCTGACTCCTCTGCTCCCACTAAGATGAAATCAATTTCCCTTTTCATATTTCAAATAACCCTTTGTCTAGACCCTTTATTTGCCTTGTTAGCTCCCCTTTATATATTTATTAGTTTACAAATCAAATTCCCATTATTACACTGTAAGCTCTTTGAAGAGAGTCCCTGTGCTATCTTTCATCATTGAACTTACTCCCAGTTCTAGAATATTATACGCACACTGTCTCAGGGTCTAGCCTTCATCTTTGATGAGGATGTAATGGTCAGTTCATATATAGTTGTATTATAACTCACCATACCTGAGAATTTGAGTGACTTTCATTTTCTGGGTGAGATTGTCTATAGAATTTTGTATTGCTTGGGAAATACTCAAGACTAAAACTAACAAAAATGGCACCTATCTCCTAGTCTTCTGAAGGGAAGGAAAAGGAAGTAAAGGGTTAAAATTTGACCAAGATTTTGGCGTGGGGTCAGAAAGTCACTCTAAAGGAAGGGTTCTTGGGATTATGAACTTGCTTCCTTAATATTTTACAACTATACGTCAAAATATTTGCAATTCATTATATTTTATGTGTTTAAAAACCACTATTCTAAGAAGTGGTCTCTGGGCTTCACCAGGCTGCCCAGATATGAATGAGACCAAAAAAAGGGGAAGAACTGCATTTAGAGTAATTATCCTGGTGGTCTGAAGGTCATCAATCATAGATTTAGAGCTACAAGAGAACCTTAGAAATCATCTAGTTTAGCTCCCTCATTTTACAGATGAGTATATTGAGGCCCAGAGAGGAGAAATCATGCTTGGTCTCAATGTTAACATAATACAATTTAATTGAGGATTTATAACCACATATTTGAATAACCTGTTAATTGAGAATTTAACAAAAAGTTGAACTGAATCCAACTATAGAAATGCCAGTTTCCACACTGTAATATAGTTGAATTGTTTCCAAATAAAACAAGAAAGTCATTTAATTTAGGTTTCCTCATTAATGAAATGTAAGAATTAAACTAAATTATTTCTGAGCTCTCACCTTCAAAATCTTGAATTCTGTGATTTGTCAGCAATTTCTAATCCTTCACAATCACTAAAGTTTGTGTGTAGCACATTATTCACTCTAGAAAACTTCTACATTCATTATCTCATTTGAGCTTTTAATAATGATATATGATATGATATATGATATGATAATAATGAAGTAGAGAGGAGCAAATATTATTAATGATGTCTCTTTGACAGATGGACAAGTAATGACTCACAGAGGTTAATTAACTTGTCCAAAGTCACAGAGGGAGTCAGTGAGAGAACTAGTATTAGAATGCAGGACTAGCCTCATTTCTCCAGGCTACATTACTCTATCTCCCCACTTATTACACAGAATATAAATTTTATTGGAAAAATGGTGCTTAAATCTTTCCAAATCTACACCTGCAGGAGATTCCTTCAGACCTTGTGGCAATGAAAGCCAGGTCAGTAATGTGTATATATACCTTCCTAGGTCTTCATGTAGACCTCCCCCACGTAATCCTCCTAACTGGCACTAACAGCTTGCCTTGGGGCCCAAGCAAAAAGATTTGGGGCAGGATGTGCACTGCATGCAGTGGGCATTTAATAAATGTTGAATGAGTGAATGCCTTCTGCTTTCTTTGACAAAAAGAGACATTCCTTGAGTGCCTTTTGCTTTTTTGAGTTTGGTCACTGATTAGGATCTCTGAGCCTCTGTCAGTCTTTTTGACATTTTTTACTATGCTCTCATCCTGAGAAGGCAGTGTGGTATAGTAGAAAGAGCACTGAACAGGGCTAGTCCCTGAGTTCAAATCTAGCCTCAGACATGTACAAAGTGTGGGATCTTGGACAAATCATTTAGCTGCCTCAATTTTTTCATCTACATGGGGATAAGAGTACCTACCTCCCAGGGTTGTTAGGAGGAACAAACAAGATAATTGTAAAGCATTTGGCACAGTGCCTGGCTCACAGTAAATACTTAAGAAATACTTATTCCCTTCCTTTCTTCCTCTTTCCAGTTCTGACACTGAATTGCTGTGTGGCTTTAGTGAAGTTACAACTTCTTGATGCTCCAGTTTGTTCATCTGTAAAATGTGGATCCCTTCCCTGTCTTTTCATATCCCTACAATATGGTTTGATAAGGATCAAGCGACAGAAATGTGCATGGCATGCTGGCATATCCCTGTAATCCTGGCTAATGGGATCTCTGTTAATGGACCTCTTGAGCACTGGAACTTCTGAGCTGCAGTGGGCCAAATAACCAGGTTTCTGAGCTAAGTCTGGCACCAATATAACAAGTCCTCAAGAGCATGAAGCCATCAATATTGGGCGAACAGGCTCAGGGTGTTGACAGAGGGTTACAAAGCTACTAGGATTGGGCCCACAAGTAGCCACTGCAGGGCCAGCTTAGGCAAGATAGGAAAGTTGGGGGAATGGGGGAGATAAACAGAGACAGAGTGGGAGAGGAAGGGAAAGAGACAGAGATAGAAACAGAGACAGAGAAAGAGGGAGAGAGAGAGGAAAAAGAAAGGAAGAGGGGAAGAGAGAGAGGACAAAGAAAGGAAGAGAAGAAGAAAGGGAGGGGAAAAGGAAGGGGTTAAGACAATGCAAAATAGCTTTGATAAATTAAAAGGTATTACACAGATGCAAGAAATAATAATTAACAACGATAACAGTGTTCTCTTCTGAGGCAAAAAGAAATGGCAATGACCTCAGTTGCCTTTGTATGTGGTGTCTGGAACTTGGACACTCTGATTTCACACTAGAGGATAAATCAGCAACAAATTTCAAAAGAACTTTAGAACCTAACCTCAGTCATTTCAGGTAGTACCATAGGAGGTAATTGCTTTGCCTAACACTTCCCTCTTCTCCCAGTGCTCCACAGCCCTCACCAAACTACACCAAATAACCCAATAAAGGTTGCTCCATCTTGTTGAACAACAGGATTTTGTTGACAACAAAATCATTAGGGAATCCCATCACTTAGAGCCATACTGGACAAAGTAAACGGACCCACAAATCCAAGGAAGCATATGTTTATTTTATTTAGGGGGGGATCATTTAAGCAAGCATAGGCATTTTATATGACTTCATAGAACATTCAAAAGCAAACCCATCCAACAGGACCACAAATGATTTGCAGATAATGTTCGTTTCTTCAGAAAAGAAGGGTACCTGGGGAATGGCACTAAACTAGGAATCAAAAGCATTGGGCTTCTGTGTGTCCTTGGGAGTGTTACTTTGTAGCTCCCTGCCTCCATTTCTTCCTCTGTAAAATGATAGGTTGGGCTAGATGAGCCCAATGGTATGGTTCTGTTTCCAGTATTTTTCATCTCTTCCCCGCAATTCCCAGTCTTCTCCTAATAGACACTTTCTCTCCAACCTTCTGCTATTTAGCTTTCTCCCTCTCATGGGAAACAAAGCTATGTTCCCTACACCACATATGCAAATGAACCTCAGAGTATTGAAACGTCAGCAGTAAACACAGCCTTGTTTGCTTGAGAAATCATTACTGCCTGACTCTGCTTTCTGCCAGAAGGTGTTCCAGACTCTGTCAGCCCTACACCTTTTGGGCCATTGTTTTAATTGGACTAAAAGGTTAATGAGTCCTCCTTTTCAACTTTACAAACTCCAGAAGGAGACAGGGAGTTGTTTTTATCTAAGGTTCTTCCTTCCTAACTCCTTCCTCACCCTTTAACTTTGGCTTTTCTTTCTATTCAGCATTTGTCACCAGGAGTCACCACAACTTGGGTGAAGAGAGATTTGGAGCAAGTCTTTGATGAGCAAAGAAAGAGAGCAAATCAGAGAATTTCAGCCCTGGAAGGTACCTTCCACATTATCTGGGCCAGCCTAATCATTTTACAGAGGAAGAAATTGAGACCTGTAGAAAGAAAACGACTTCCACTGGGTCCCACACCTAGCTGAGCTCAGAGGTGAGACTAGGATCCCAGGCATGTGTGTGTGTGTGTGTGTGTGTGTGTGTGTGTGTGTGTGTGTGTGCCTTTTCCTGAGGCTAAGGTTTATTTTTCAGTGTTTTCTGTGGGAATTGCCTTTACTGTAATCTAACTTGGATAGAGCATCAGTGTTGCACCAGGCACTGCTACAAGAAGGAACCAGAGCCTAAGGTCATTTCTGAAGGGAAGAGTTGGTCAATTAATTGTCTTTGATGGGATCTTGCACACAAATGGGAATTTCTGGCTGCAGGCATTATCATTCCATGATCTTAGGGCTGTGGAAGAGAGACAGAACAAAAGATCTGGGTTAAGGTTTGCCCTTTGGAATAAAAGCCCTCCCAACCTATGTGAGATAAGAATTGACGTAGGTAGGTCACACATCTAAACACATTTCTCTCATCGCTCCACTTTTGACTCTCCAGACTTTTCCATGTTCTCTCTAGCTGCCTTTTTACCTCGAAGATGCCTCTGCCTCTGTGGTCAGCCCACTCCTCCCATTTGTGAGTCCTTGCTCAGAACCTCCATTTGAGGAAGTACCCAGACACAAATAAGTTTCTTTGCTGGCTCCACTCCTGGCTCTCTGGATTTTTCCTGCTTGCCCTTCTCTCTCCCTCTTCCATTAGAATGTAAGCCTCCTGAGGATAAAGACTGTCTTTTCTTGTTGCTTGAATTTGTATTCCCAGTGCTTTATATGGTACCTAGCACATAGCATGTACTTAATAAATGCTCTCTCTCTCTCTCTCTCTGTGTGTGTGTGTGTGTGTTTCTTTTTGCCACAGAGGAGGGAGCATATTTTAATTGTTAATAATAATATCTTGTATATGCATAATGCCTTTTAATTTTCCAAAATTCTTTTATATCTCTCTTGCTTTGGACAACAACTCTATTGTAGAGTTAGCATGTATGGGTTGAAGATCTGGAGCATTAAGAAGTCAAGTGACTTGACCAAAGTCATGTAGTGTCTGAATTGGAACCAACCCATCCCTGTGCTCTTTCCTTTATATCCTTTTGCCTTGTCCACCTATGACCTGGCAAAGGTTCTCAGTCTATCCCTATTGTTTTGGATCACATTATCAATTTCCCACTCATAGGTGGATGGAATGACTTTCACACATCCCCAAATCAGTGCTGTGTGTCCTTATATAAGTCACTTAACATCTTTGTGTCAATGTTTTTAGGGGGTCAGAGGAATCTTGCCCCCTTTTTTCATAATCCCCAACTATTACAACCACCAGTGTTGTTTCCTTCCTATGTGTCCCAGACCCATTATTCAAAGTCCAGCTGAAGTCCTACTTTCTCCACAAAGCCTCTCCTGACTCCCCACTCCAAAACTGCATTTCCATTAAGCTTTCTTCTTGTTAAATTCCATTTTGCACTTATAATATATGCTACATCTGCATACAATGAATACAAATACAAGCAACAAGAAAAGACAGTCTTTATCTGCAAGAAGCTTACATTCTATTGGAGGAGAGGGAGAGAAGGACAAGCAGGAAAAATCTGGAGAGCCAGGAGTGGAGCCAGGAAAGAAACTGTGTCTGGGCACTTCTCAAATGGAGGTTCTGAGCAAGAACCCACAAATCGGAGGAGGTGAGTGATCACAGAGGCAGAAACACCGCCAGGCTAAAAAGGCAGCTGGAGATGTAGTATAGATTATAAGTCAGATATCTCATGTCTGAGTCATTCTTTAGTTTTTCAGTGTACATACATCCCTTTACTCTTTATCTAGAGTTATTAACTCTTTGAGGATGGAGACCTGTGGGTCCACATGCACAGATAGATTTCAGCAATCTGCAAATTTGGATGGGCAAAAATTACATCTTTATTTTCACTAACCTTTAAGTGAAATTTAGCATTTCCATCCATTATGAATGTAGGCAACAGACATTCTTCTGAGAAAGGTTCCATACGCTTCACTAGACATCCAAAGGTAGTCACAACCCAAAAGTAGTTAAGAACCCTTTCCTAGTAGATGTTTAATAAATGCTGGACAAGTAATTAGAATAATCTGATCCTGCTAATGGCTGTAAAACTATCTGCAATAAATTTGACTCAACAGAAATAACTAGATAGGCTGTTGGGACACAGCTATTTAACGAGATATAATGTTCTATTTGCATAGTGTGTGTACTGAAGAGGATTACCCTATTTTCTTGAACTTTTGGAGATTCTTGTTACTCACATCTCTTCCTTGAATGTTCCTCCCTACTTCCTTTCTCCCTCTTTTACCTCCTCTTGCAATCTATTTCAAATCTTTTTCACTGGCATTTGGTTCCCTTTCAGTTTTAGCAGTTATCATTCTTATTTTTATTTTTATTTTTATACAGGTTTCTAGGTTGTTGACTCACATTTGGTCACACCACCAACCTTTGCTCTAATTTAAAGAATCAATCTTTCCTCTAGTTGTTTCTCCATGTATAATTTTTCTCTGTTGGTGATAACTTTCTTACAGAAGTTTCTTCTGGCCCCTGAGGTCTTTACATGGAAACCCACAATGGGGAGTGGGAGGGAGGATCATTGACCCAATGTATTTCTTCTCACTTCTATGTATCTAATGAGCATTTTCAACACCAGACAAGGCAACTACAGCCAAAGTTTGATTGATTTGTTTGATTACAGTAAAACTTGTCCACCAAGCTACTATGTCATAGGAGGAGGAAAATGGTGCTGATGGACTGTTAGGGTCTTAAGAACACTGACTGTAAGGATCCTCTTGAACTCTGACCTCCGATATAGGCATAACTGAGAGAATAGGGAAGGATCTGGAATAGGCTCTCAGGAATGCAGCTTTTGCTGATCTTCTGGCTAGCATACATTCATCTCTGCCAAACTCTTCTATGTTCTCTGCTCCAAAGATTCCAGGGAATTTACTCACAGCCCAGCCCAGAGTGCAACTCTCATACAACTCAGGGACATGGACATCCATCTAGAAACAGCAGAGGCCCCAAGTCACATGACTCATGAACATATCTCACCTGCCTTACTTTGTGTTACTTCTTCCACAGTAAACAGCTCTGCAACCACAGGGACTACAAAGAGTAGCCTGGACATTGTGCTTCTTTCCATTTTCACCTACTGCCTGAAGGCTGCTCTATTTTTGGCAGACCTGAGGATTAGTGACAATAATTGGTACTTTTCTGGTCTCACAGCTCAATTTTTTTGGTGTCATTAGAGCAGTAATACATTTCAGAGTTGGTGACTCAGGACTCTGATATCATCATGGTGGCATCTACCCACAGGCCCTCTCCTGATTCTTCTTCAGGAAGTGTTCATTAGATTCACTTTGGAATTCTCTCCAGTCCCATTAATCTAGTGCTGAACCTTCTAACCCCACTTTAATGTTTCATCTCCAGTCAGCGCTGCCTCCAGGGCAGCCAATCCTCTTCTCTTGCTCAATTATAACCCTATTCACCATTTGAAAGTACCTACCACTATTATGGCGATACCAGATCTGTACACAGTCTTCCTCCTCAAGGGCAGAATGGATGCCATCATCTGGCTGGTTTCCATCCCAGTAGTTGTAGTCATAAGATGTGCCATCTGTCCATTCAAACTGACCTTCCTATTGTATACCCCATACAGAGGCAAGGGAAAAAACGGCGTGCAAGAAGATCAAGAATTTATAACATATGACACAGATCTGAACATTATTCATATCTCTGCATATATTTTAGTATGCAGAGGTGAAGATTAGGCAAGGCTGGAGACATATATAGTATAGGGACCTTCCCTTGTGAATGATGGTTTGTTTTTTTTTAATTCTGGTTGCCCTCAAAGAGGATCAAGGGTTGAAATGAAACAAATTTCAGTTAAAAATTAGGAACATACAAGAAAAAACTACAAAGAAGGGCGAAAATAAAGGAAACATCAAAGAAATCAAAAAATTAGATGGGCTGGTCATGTAGAGAAAGTGGAACAACCAATAGGCAGTCCATATACTCCACTAATATCCTGATGGTATCAAGAAAAAGTGAGGAAGTTACCCAGTAGTTTACTGGATTCACCAAAGTGGAGAACTTAAGGGTTTCAATAGATATCTTTGATGGAAATGTTCATATTTAGACAACTAGGTGGTACAGTGGATAGAGTACTGGACCTGGGGTCAGAAAGATCCTGAAATCCTGAAATCCTGCTTCTAATACTTACCAGTTGTGTGACCTTAGGAAAGTCACTTGATCTACATTTGCCACAGTTTCCTCATCTGTAATGGGGATAAATATCCTGTGCTTACATGAAGGGTAGGGTGGATCTGGCAGAGCACCATCATGAAAGTGTAGGGCATTAATCTCCACCAATGAAGATAGAATCCCATACCAGTGGGCTTTGGGACTAGGGTTACAACAGTAAAATCTAGGTTAAGATTTTTGTTAAAATGAAAGATAAAAGAACCACACCCTTCTATACATTCATATCATAGTGCATATATCAGACCTTCATTAAATCTGTGGTTTCAGTAGATGAGCTGCTATTCTTCTCACCTGTCTCCGGTCATGAAGTCCCATCCAGATGTCTGTTGGTATCCCTGGCACACAGCTGTTTACAAGATCATGTACAAAGACATTCTCCTCCCAACTATGAAGGAAAGAATAACATAGTTTTATGCCAACATTTTTCAGTCATTTTGTCAATCAACAAGCATTTATAAAGCATTTACTATGTGCCAAGCACTCTGCTTGTAGTGCTTATGGACACAAAGAAAAGGCAAAAATAGTACTTGTCCTCAAGTTTACATTCTAAAGGGAGAAACAACATACACAGAAATTGATGCATACAGTATAAATGTAGAGTAGAGGGAAGGTAGCCTTAGAGGGGAAGGCACTAGAAGTTGGGGTGATGGGGAAGGAACTTTAGGAAGAGGTGGTATTTGACTTACCTCTTAAAAGAAGTTAGAGACTTGAGAATGGAGGGATAACATTCCAGGCATGGGAGACAGACAGTGCAAAGGCATGGAGATAAAGAGTTATGTGTGAGGAAGAGCAACTAGATCAGCATGGCTGAACTACAGTGTGTATGAAAGGGAGTAATCTATTAAAAGATTGAGAAGATGGGAAGGAGCCAGGTTATGGAGAGCTTTAAATGCCAAACAGAGGGGGTTATATTTGATCCTAGAGGTAATAGGGAGTTACTGAAGTTTATCGAGTAAGGGAGTAACATGGTCAGACCTGTGCTTTAGGAAAACCACTACAGTAATTGTGTAGAGAATGGACTAGAGTGGAGAGAGACCTGAGACACACAGACTCTTATGGACTTCCGTGAGTGATGGGGATGGATATGGGGAAGCTACATAGTTAGACTTGCACTTTAAGTGTGTGTGTGTGTGTGTGTGTGTGTGTGTGTGTGTGTGTGTGTGTAGTAAACAGTTCTTGGAGCAAAAAGACTCATGCCTCTTCTACTGGTAAGACCATCACCTTTCTTTTTTTAATCAATATCATGCTGAATTTGAAGTCAGGTGGACCTGAGTTCAAAATCCTACCTGTGATTCTTATATCTTTGTCACCATAAACAAATCACTTAACCTCTCTAAGCCTCAATTTCCTCATCTGTAAATGGCAAGAAGAACACCAGTATTACTCATCTCACAAGGTTTTTGTGAGGCTCAAATGAGATCATGGAACTGTAACCTTTAAAGCACTACATAAATTTGCCAATTATTAATATTATTGTTATGATGATTATTAATGATGCCTTCCCTCCTTCCACTTATGAAAATAATCATGCATTATTCCATTTCCCTCTATCTCTCACTTGGAGAACTGGCAATGAGGGCATACTGAAAAGGCCACACTTATTGCACCTTCTGCAAAGCTCTGATGGAAATGGCCCAGATCTGATTCTGCTGGTGAGATGGAGCTTTTTTCTTATCCTTAGGGATAAAGTGAGGGTTCAAAGGGCCTGCATGCTGTTAGCTAAATGAATGGGAGCTAACTTCTTTGGTAGGGGGGATGATCCTTCACTTTCACTTCAGAGTTTTCCTGGTGTGTTATAGTATGTGTGTGTGTGTGTGTGTGTGTGTGTGTGTGTGTGTATGTGTGTGTGTGTGTGTGTGTGTGTGTGTGTAATATACATATATATAACACATATAAGCATATATATTATTAATGTTCTCTAGGTACTGAGTGTCGTTCACTGTGATTGGTTCTAGTCTGAGAATGCTTAAGTAGGAGTTTGGGGGAGGGGAGGAACAGGATGCTGCTGGGACCTTCATCCTGGTAAGTACTAAGTGCCTTGAGGCGTAAATGATGAGAATCATTCCATTCTTTCAAGACTTTGGAGGCAGCAAGGGAATTCTGTGTGATAGGAATGAAAATCATTCACAACAGAGAAACATTCATCCATTTGTTCCAATTCATCAATAGGACCAAATGTAAAATCTTATGCTTGGCTAAAAAGAAAAGTTAAAATACAGGGATGTGAAGAGGCCTGGTTGGTACAGACTTTGTTAGAGGCAGTTAGGTAATGCGGTGGATTGAGCAGTGGACCTGGAATTAAGACAGACCTGAGCTCAAATTTGGTCTCAGACACTTATTAGCTGTGTGTCTTTGGGCAAATGACCCAACCTCTGTCTATCTCAGTTTGCTCAACTGTAAAATGAAGATGATAATAGCATCTACCTCCCAAGGTTGTTGTGAGAATGCCACGAGATAACATCTGTAAGTGCTTGCATTCAGTAGGCACAATATAAATAGCAGTTATTATTGTTGTTATTATAAAAAAACAGTTGAGTGTTTTGGTAGACTGCAAACTAAATATGAGACAGCCCTACAGTGTGGCAACAAAGAAAGGAAATGTGATCTTGGGTAGCCTTAAGAGTGGCATCACTTTAGCTTCCAGGAATGGAAGGTGAAAGTCTATTTGTACTCTGCCCTAGTCAGGCATCTGGAGTATTGTGTTCAATGATGGGTACCACAATTTAGGAAGGACATTGACAAGCTGAAGAGTGTCCAAGGGAGAGGATGATGAAGAGCCTTGCAATCTTGCCTTAGAAAGACTGGTTGAAAGAACTGGAGAAGACTTAGGACAGGGTATGACAGCTATTTTAAAGTATTTAAAGGAATGTGATAGAAAAGGAATTAAGACTTGCTCTCTTTGGGAGAAACACAAGTGGCAAGGTGGTATAGTGAATTTCAGAATACCACACTCAGAATCAGAAAGACTTCAGTTTAAAATCAGCCTCAAACATTACAAGCTACATGACCCTGAACAAGCTCTCCCTCAGTTTCCTCATTTGTAAAATGGGGATAATAACACCTACCTCTTAGGCAGAGACTTCTTAGGGTTGTTGTGAGCATAAAATGAGATAATATAAAGTACTATATAAATGCTAGATATTATTATTAGTAGTAACAGTATTAGTATTATCATATCTAGTTATTAAGTAACAAAGAGGCAAATTTAGGCTTGATGTCAGGAAAAACTTCCTAATAGTTAGAGCTGTCCAAAAGTAGAAGAAACAACTCCATTGGGTGGTGGATTTTCCCTTCATTGATAGTATTCAAGAGTAGACTGGATGGCAGCATATTATAGTAGAAATCAGATCTTGTCTAAAATTCTGTGATTCTATGATTCATCTGATGTGCCAGAAAAAAGAAATGTATTGCCTCCAGCAAGTGTAGAATTGTATAAAAATTGTCCAAGGAAACAGCCTACCAATTGGAAAGAAAATAGAATGGCAACTGGGTAGGATAAAGAACCAGAAAAAAAAAAAAAGATTTAGCAGTCAAACAGAGAAGACCAGGAAAGAAAAGTGTCACAGAAACCTAGAGAGGAGAGAACATCAAGGGATACTCTTGCTACAACAGTGTCAAATGTTGCAGAGAGATAAAAAAAAAAAGGTTGAAGATTGAAAATGGAGCATTAGATCTGGTGATTAACAGAGCACTGATAACTTTGGAAAGAGCAGTTTCAGTTGAAGGATAAGGCCAGAAGCCAGATTGCAGAATGGTCAGAATAGATTAAAGGAGCAGTGGGGTCACTGACTGCAGATTGCTTTCTTAAAGGAATTTGGCTGAGAAATAGAGGGGAGATATAGGATGAAAGCTAGTAGGGATGGTAGGATCAACTGAAGATTTCTGAAGAATGAAAGAGGTGTAGATATGTTTGTTGATAGCAAAGAAGGAGCTAACAGGAGAATCTGAAGACAGAATGCGGATGACAATAGGAGCAATCTAGGGGAGGAGATAGGATGAGATGGGCTTAAGAGTGCATATGGACTTTGATTATGGTCTTGGCATGGACAAAAGCCACATGTTCATTCAAGTGTGGAGTAAAAGACAAAATTGTGTTGAAGATAAATGATGGAGAAAATGTCAGTAATGAAAATTAAACTTAAAAATGTGTCATGTATACATCTTTAAAGAACAGCAGTTGTTAAACATTTACCAGCATACCCCTAGATGTAGTTTGCTAAATACTTATATTTGCACATGTCATGTTCCTAAATAAACTCCTTGAGGATAAATTTCATTTTTGTCTGTTTATATCCTCCATACCTAGTACAATACCTGGAACATAAGTAAAATATTTGTTGCTTAACAAAAAACTAAACTCATTATTTTTCCCCAAATCCCTTCCCTCTTCCTTACCTCTTTATTACTGCCAAGGGCAACACCATTCTCCCAGTCCCCTAGACTTGGTGACATCCTCAACTCCCATATTGAATCTATGGCCAAGTCTTGTCAACTCTACCTTCCTAACAGCTCTTATATATACTGCCTTCCCTCCCCTAACATTGCCACCACCCTGGTACAAGCCCTCATCAGCTCGCTCCTGGACTATTGCATTTTCTCTTGCGTTGCCTGTCCCAGGTCTCTTCCCCTATGTATCCTTCACTCACCTGTCAGAGTGATTTTCCTAAGATGTAGTAGTCCCCACCCTCATCCCCATTCACTAAACTCTATTACCTCAAGGATCAAATATACAAACCTCTGTTTGACTTTTAAAGTCCTTTATAATCTATGCCCCTCCTACCTTTCTAGTCTTCTTACACCTTATTCTCCTCTGTGTACCCTACAATCCAGTGACATTGGCCTCCTTCCTGTTCCTCACTCAAGACACTCCACTTCCTGACTCCATGAATTTCCACTGACTATCCTCCAAATCTGGAATGCTCTTCCTCCTCATCTCTGCTTCCTGGTTTCCTTCAAAGTTTCACTTAAAAGCTCTTCTGCAAGAAGCCTTTCCCAACCCCCCCTTAATGTTACTGCCTTCCCTCTGAGACTACCTATAATTCATCTTGTGTGCATAGACAAATATATACATCTTGTATTTATGTAGTTACTGGCATGTTATCTCCCTCATTAGAATGGGATTTCATTGAGGGAAAGGATGGTCTTTTGCATTTCTTTGAATTCTCAGCATTTAGCATGGTGCCTGGCACATAGTAGGCGCTAAATAAATGCTTATCGATTTGACTACTTGAGTAATTGATATTTTAACATCGATATCAAGACAGCTAATCTCTATACTTGAACAGGCTCTTAGGTCTTTGAATATTACCACTGCTGTCTGGGTCAGACTATAAACTCCTAGTGGGCAGGGACCATGATCAACTGACTTGTACAATATCCAAAGGTGAAGGTAGACACTAAACAAATGTTCAGAGGAAGGAGAAAAAAAGAAAGCTCCTTCACTGCTGATGCTGGAAAGAGAAGGCTAAAGGACTTCCCCCAAAATGACTCCAATAATGGGTTGTCTTTTCCCTTTTGCCTGTGTTTGCATCTCTTGTCTCATCAATGCCATTGTAAACTTTTTAGGGCAGGGAACATGTCATAATTGTCTAAATTTTGTTGTTTTCTTGTTCAGTCATTTTCAGCAATGTCTGACTCTTTGTTTCCTCATTTGGGGTTTTCTTGGCCAAGATACTGGAGTGGTTTGCTATTTCCCTCTCCAGCTCATTTTACAGATGAAGAAACTGAGGCAAACAGGGTTAAATGAATTGCCTAGGATCACACAGCAAGTAACTGTCTGAGGCTAGATTTGAACTCAGGAAGATGAGTCTTTATGACTTCAGAGTCCCACTTAGCTGCCCTACTTCTCTAAATGCCCTACCATAAATGACTAGCAAAATGTCCTGCAGAGAGTAGGCATTTAATAAATATTTTTTATTTTTATTTTTTAATTTTTTTATTGCATTTAATAAATATTTGATGATTGATTGATATGGCATCCTGTCTCTGTCCCACAAAGGGGATACCAGAAAGGATACTGTCTCTGGGTTCGAACAGCTGACAAGTAATCCCAACTGTGAGTCTGCCTTTTTCACTGTTGTTGTTCATCCTTCATTCTCAAAGAAGACCAATGATACCACAGGGATGATGTCTTGACTTGTGCATGAATTGGATTTAAGTGAGACAGAGCTATGCAAAGTAGTCAGCCTTTCTTGCAGGTCACAAATCAAGTATATTGATTGTGTTCAGGTCATAATGCATGCTACAGAGGCAAGAAGCCATACCACATCCTAAAGCAAAAGTTAAACCATGTATTCATATCTTTATTCATAAAATTGATTTTAAACCCCAAACAGTCAATTGATAAGCTTTATTAAGCACCTACTACATGCCAGGTGTTGTACTAAGTGATGGTGATGCAGAAAAAGGCAAAAGACATCCCAATCTAATGGGGTTTTGAGCTCTTTTCTATGCTTATGAAGACATCTTTAATCCAGATATGATAATTAACCCCCTTCAAATATCTCCATTGGTATATCAAAAGAACACCTTCTTCCTTAATGAAGATCTTTGAGATTTACTTAGTGATCTTTGGAGAGAATGATGATTTTTTTTTATTTCTTGCAATGAGACCTTTACAGGAAAAATGCCAGTTGATGAAAGGAAATTTCAGCCAGTGTCTTGTTAATAGTGCTATTAATAATAATAATAATAATTACTTGTATGGTGCTTTAAGGTTTGCAAAATACCTTACATATGTTATCTCATTTGATCCTCACAACAAGTAGATGAATATGAGAAGTAGGTGCTATTATTATCTCCATTTTACAGATGAGGAAATGACCTTAGTTCAAGGACTTTCCCAGAGTGATACACATAGCCAATATGAATATTTGTCTTATGATGGCAAGAATGATTTCAACAAGAAATTACCCTGGATAGGAGCTATTTTCAATTGCAAAAGAGAAACTCTACCTGTAAAACATCCCCTACTCATCCTCTCCAAACTCTCACCCAACCCCTTCTAAGTAGAAAAGCAGAATGTCATGGACATAAGAGGTAGCAAGAGGTAACAAATTCCTGCTAAGTTTACCTGTGAATGGAAGCCAATTTGGCTGACTTTGTCCCAACAGAGAATTCTGCACAGTAAAGGTCAGCCTCAGCCCAGGTCTTATTAAGAGGGAAGAATCTATAGCAGTAACCTTCATACTCCATCCAGAACAGAGGACATGAATAGGGCTGAATCATCTCTGGCATGGCTGGAGAAAAAGAAAACCAGAAGGTATTTGGAAACGTTTGGAATGTTTCTTCTCCTTTGCACTGAAAAAAATAAAGATGTTAGCTATTGCTGAAGATATTACATATGTATATGTTTACATAACAATAGCTAACATAGTGCCTACAATGTGCCAGGCACTGTGCTAAGTATTTTACAAGTGTTATCTCATTTGATTCTCATAATAACCCTAGAAGGTAAGTGCTATTATTATCTCCATTTTACAGATGAGGAAACTGAGGCAGATAGAGGTTAAGTGACTTGCCTAGGTTCACACAGCGAGTGTTTGAGACTGGATTTGAACTTAGGTAATTCTGACTCCAGGGCATATGTTTTGTTACTAAATTACTTACTGCTTTAGGATGTGGTAAGAAAAGAGGACTGAACAAGGGAACTGAAGCTGAGGCAAGTAGCTTGGCCAAGGATACCTAGCTAGTCAGAACAATGAACCAGATCTCTTAATGCTTAATTCTGTACTTTAAGAAAAATTCTATACCATCTATGCCAATTCATAAAATGAATAAGTAAAGTTTGTTGGTTGTATTGCTATGTATATATTTTAGTCACTGGGAAACTAAAGGAACCAAATTGTCATACTAGGTCAGTGCTTTCTGGATTAAGACAGCCTTGACTAGCCTGCCCTACCACTGCTTCCTTCTCTACTATAGACATTTAGTGGCTGTTGGGGTCTTTGACAAAGCATGAGAGAGAAACAAGATGTGATGGAGGAGAGAAAGGAGTTGAGGGTGGTTTAAGTAAAACCTATGGAGTGGTGCCTTTGAAGTAGACCTGGCTAATTTTCCACATTAGGGATAAAATGCAAAGGGGTAGAAAACAGCAACAGAGGTCAATACTTTCAGTAGAAGAAGGAAATTCAAATTAAATGGAAAAGAATTAATTAAAAAATCCCTCACTAAGGGACACAGAAGAGTGGTTGATAGACATCCATTTTTATAAAATTGCTTTTAGCATATCCCTTCCCCCACCAAATGCCCCTCAAGAATATCATCTGAATGAATAAATCAGCCAGGTCTAAATGGAAAGATTCATTACAATTCCCTAATTAAACCATAACAAGGAAACTTGAGAAATGATGGGAAATTTCCACAGTTATGTTCCAATATTGATTGCTTGAATTTTATGCTAATAAAAATAACATGTTTTAAAATTTCTTGTGTGGATAAAAAAAAAGAATATCATCCAACATACTCTTTTATAAGTTACTATGTTACTTTTATTTTGTTTGTTTCTTAAGTTGAGAGGGGTAGTGTGTTAGAGCAAAAATAATACTGGATTCAAAATCAGAGACCTGGTACTAATTAGCTGTGTGACCTTGGACACGTCCCTTAACCTCTCTAATTTTCAATTCCTTTATCTAGAAAATGAAAAATTTAGTTTCAATTTTTCTCGACCACTAGTTACCACAGTCTGTGGTAAATTTTACTCATCTGCAAAATTTTTATTAGAAAGGGTCCATCTTTTATCTTTTTATTTTTATTTTTTTTGGTGACACAGTCAGGGTTAAGTGACTTGCCCAGGGTCACACAGCTAGTAACTATCATGTGTCTGAGGCCAAATTTGAACTCAGGTCCTCCTGACTCCAGAGCTGGTGCTTTATCCACTGTGCCATCTACTGACCCCAAGGGTACTATTTAAAACAATAACAACAACCTCTAACCTTAAAAATATTTATTCTTCACCCTCTTTCCTCTCTTCCTTAGGCCTCAATTTTCCCAGGACTCTCTTCTCTAATGTTTGGTCAGCTAAGATTGCAGAGAGTAGAATGGTTCATAGTAAACAGTTTATATATTTACCAGTCCTCAGAATAGTCTGGGTTGAGAAAATACTAGATTAGATGACCTCTCACCTCCCTTTCAGCTTTACATTACGTACTTTTAAAAAGCCTGTTATATAATTCTATTACTGTTCTCCACACAATTCTATTCAATAAATAATTTTTGTTGTTGTTCAATCATTTCAGTTGTTTCCAACTCATCATAGCCCCATTTGGGATTTTCTTGACAAAAATACTGGAGTGGTTTGCCATTTCCTTCTCTAGTTCATTTTTTATAGGTTAAGAAATTGAGGCAAATAAGGTTAAGTGACTTGCCCAGAGTCACACAGCTAGTAAGTGTCTGAGGTCAAATTTGAATTCAGGAAGACTCCTCTTCCTGACTCCAGACTGGTGATCTATCCACTGTACCACCTAGCTGCCCCAAGAAATGTTTTTAAACACCTAACATTTGAATACCTACTATGTTCAATGTAAGGCAATATATTGTCATGGATAGAAGATCAGCCAGTCTTGGAATCCAAGAGACAGGTTCAGTTTTTCCTCTGATGCATACCAGCTCTGAGACCTGGGGCAAGTCACTTATTTCATTAACTCAGACAGCTCTCTATGGCTACAGGTTACAGATGAATTGCTGAGTGGTATTAAAGGAAGGAGTTTCTGCCCTAGGAGTTCCCAAGTAAATGAAATCATAGGTACAGACCAAAGATACTGAAGGTGATACAAATATGAATGAGATATAGCTCCCTCACCTCAAAAAGCTTACAATCTAGGACACATATATTATTTTTCAACTGTCTGTGCAAGTAGGATTTTTCCATTAGCAGGGATGGACTACACTATACCATTCACATTGTCTTTTAATAACTTCTTGTGATAAATAATGAACTCACATTTATATGGCACTTCACAGCACGTAAAGCACTTCCATTCTACAGATGAGAAAACTAGAGGCTTTGAAGTGGCTTGCCCAAATCTACTCAATTAGCAAATGGCAGAGCTAGGATTTAAATCTAAGTCATCGTTTTCTATCTAGATAGCTGTCCAGGTTTAGTGGCAAAGTTTATAGTCATCAATGGTAAAGAGCCCATGTGGGTTTTTGTCCTTGGTCTCATCATCATTGTTCTTTAACCTGCCACAGATTGTTGTCTCTTGTGGGACCCTTTCCATGGATACAGTAATGCTAGGAGCACCACTGGAGGAGTGCCAAGGCCCTTCCTGATGATATGGGCTTTTTTCTGGGATTCCAAGGCAACTGTTCTAGGAAGCTTCTGAGCTTCTCATTTTCTACCCCAGTTAACATAGTACTTACCTCCACCCAACACCCACTAACAACTCTGGTTTATTGATCGGCTAATAATAGCCCCCATCCCAAGCCTCTGTGGTCTAGCCCTTGATCATTGAATGGGTGCTGCTTCGGACAAACTGAGGCTTGGGAAAGACCTAAATTTAGAAAGGCCAAGGTCATCCACTGCATCCCAGGCCATCACCAGTCTTGACTGTTGTCTTACCACTCGATTTCAATGGCCCTGGAGGAGAGAATGAGGCTGACAACTTTGCACAGCTCTGCCTCCCTTAAATCCAGTTCACCTGAAGGTCAAGATATCACCCTCATGATGTCATTGGTCCTATTGCAGAATGAAAGGCAAACAACAACAACAATAAGTAGCTCACATTTTCATAGCTCATTCAAGTTGGGCCTTCCTTACAATGTCCTTGGGATGTAGGTAGTGCAAGGATTTTTACTCCCATTATATAGATAGAGAAACTGAGGCCCACAGAGTTTAAGTGACTTGCTAAGGGTCCCACAGCTACTACAATTGAGCCCAAATATTCTGGAACCAACATTAACAAACACTCTTTCCTCTACATCCCTAAAGAGATCCTTCAATGAGAGAAGGGCTTCTGAGAAGGCGCTATCTTGTTCTTGTGGCTAGTCAGGCCTCTCCTGAATTCTCAGAGCCAGGAGAACATTTCAACCGTAAATATGGGGTGTAGGAAACAAGACGCCTGAGTTGTGACCTCCATATACCTTTCTCTGAGCACCTTTCCCCAATTCCTTCCATTAATTTGATTTGTTTCATGGAGTAAGTGATGCCTGTGGATACCTAGAGTTAAATATAGCAGAAAGATAGGGCTGTGACAAGTCAGCACTAATCCTTTCTCCTCCAGGGGAGTCAAGGCTCCTTAGCTGAGAGAGAATAGAGTTGCAAAATAACCTTTTGAATCTCTAGCAGTGATAAATTAGCTCCAATTTGGCAATCATTTAACCTCCTCTTCATTTTTCTGGTATTTTAAGTTTTGGTCCCAGGCTGATTTTAGCCTAGTGTATCCTTTTCTTCTGTAGCCAGCCCCATAAGGCTCACTGTGAAAGAGATTCTACAATCTCTGACCTGCCTCTCATGTGTTCAAAAAATTTCAATGGCTCCCCATTGCCTACTGATCCTGATATTCAAGGCCCTCCACAGTCTTACTCCAAACCACCCTTCTAACCTAATTTTCTACCACTTCTCTTCACATATTTGATGTTCCTGCCAAATAGGACTACTCTCAGGTCCTGGTTCTAGTCCTGTCCTCTTCCACCTCCATGCCTTTGTTCATGCTGTAACCATGCTTAAATCTGTCTCCATCTGTTGGAAGTTCCTTTCTTCTTTCAAGGCTTAATTCATGTACCAACTCCTCCATGGGCCTTGAGCCATCCAATTCCTCAAGGTGAAAATATCTCTTCCCTCCATGGATGGTGATAGAACTTTGTTTGGACTTCTCCTTTGAAATCATCTCATTCCCCTGTATATTACAGTGATTTGGGTTCCTCTTTCCCCCATTAGGGTACAAGTTCCTAGAGGCCAGGGTCTGCATCCTATTTCTTTCTATATCTATGTGCTTTACACATAGCAGGTATTTTAATAAATGTGTGTTGACTTGAATTTGCTATCGATTTTCAGATAGATAGCTGGATGAATGGAAGTATGGATAGATAGACAGATAGATAGATAGATAGATAGATAGATAGATAGATAGATAGATAGATAGATAGATAGATAGATGCTTCTTAAACACATGCTGTGGACTGTACTAAATGCTAAAGATATAAATACAAGCAAGAGAGTTCTTGCCCTCAAGCTTAGATTCTAATTAAGGGAGACAAGGCCAAAAGGGGTGGTGGAAGGAAGAGTGGTACAATTGACTCA